ATGCACCGAGGCCAAATTCATGTTAGGAATACCTGCTTTTTAATCCAGGGATTTTATCTTAACTGCTAAGAGTCCATTCAACTACAAAGTAGGATCCCAAAGGTAGCCAATGCTCTGCATGAGGCACCTCCTTCCCCAAAACGTACATACCAGCTCAAAAATCTGGATTAAATTAAACACTACGTCATGATTTTTTAGGTGGGGAGGAAAATGTCCAGGGCGCTTTTTTCCTAGAAAGCTACATGGCCTCTAAGTTAGGCTAGGTGAAAAGAGCAAAAGGGAAGACTTGTTTGAGTGTCCTTTGATAACCTGGTGAGCACCGGTTGATTCATCCCTTTCTTCCTATATCTTTTAACTTCCTTTTCCATGGTGACTCCTGTGATGGACGTTACCGAAGGGCACCCTTGTCAAGTGAGATGTTCAACTGAGATCCCCAAATTCTCCAAAAGCACCTACCTCAAAACTTGTAGAAAATCCCAATAAGGTCAAGAGAAAACAAAAAACAAAAAAACAAAACAGTACCTGGCACAATTTTCTGTTCTTCCTTATGCACCAATGAGGATTCAGAACAACATACTGAAAATGTTCCCACAAAGTGGGAATCAATTTCCCCAATATGGCCAGACCCTAAATATAGTCACCATTTTTCCTGCTCAGAATACACCAATTAAACTTGTAGATGGAGGAAATGGAGCACAAGAAACAATGACAGTGTTATTGCCACCATCTCTACCAGCATGAAAATGGCTCTAGATGTCCCTGGCAAGGGCTGGCAAAATATAGACACCTGTAACACTCACACCCCTTTTGCTCCAGGCTCCATACCTTTGATAGAGTCTGGGTTACTGGAGGGAAGAAATTACACACCCTGGCTCTGAAGTAATTCTAGCATTCTGAGAAGGTATACAACATCACTAGTACTCAGAGTAGTGAAAGGCATAGAATTCCCCACTCAAATTATAAGGACTGAGTTAGCCTACAGGAAACATGAGAATTTAACCACGGTAGTTTTAAGTCCTCACAATTTGCTGTCCAAAACTACAGTGAGGGGCTGTTTTAAATGACTGGATTTTTAAGCAAAATCTAGAACACAAAACTTAATCTAAAATGTATTCCAAAGTTTCACTTGAAACGTCTACAAGGTTTATTATACTGGATCTAGACATATTTAACAATAAACCGTTTTTTGCAGAAATTTTGGGCAAAAAGCAAAGTGTCAAGAGTTGGTTACTAAAGAAAACTGACTGAAGAACTGTTAAAGGTCGATAAATGAACTTCTCAACATAAGAAAGGCAACATGGGACCATTCCAAGGCATCTTGTAAAAGTTAGCTCTTGAAAGCAGAACAGCATAGGGATTTTGAAGACTGGATTCTGCGGTCAAACTCTGGGTCAAAACGCAGGCTCTGCCACTGACAGCTGTGGATCTTGGGCAAGCTGCCTAAGTTCTCCGCGACCTTAACTTTCCTCACCCGTGAAATGGGAATTATACTGGCAACCACCTCACTGCATTGTGAGAGAAGTGAACTACAGGGGGGGAAAATCAACATTTAAGACAGTAAATGCTATCAGTATTCAAAAGTACGATTCGAGAAGGTCAGATCTACTACAAAGACACCCATCAGCCCCGCGGAATTGAAATCGCAGGCATCTCACGAAAGCGTATCACTCCCCCTTCCCCACACCTCACGCGGCATCCACCTTCCCGACGATGCGGAAATTACACTTTCATTCATCCGTCTGAGAGCTTGTCAAGCACGGCAAGAAAGCAGAAGGGTGCCTTTCTCGTGGCTGTTGCTCCCGCACAACTTCCAGACGCTGTCACGTACACAATAGGTCGGAGCTGGCCCCGAGATGACAGCTCCCAGCCCCGCAGGGCCCGGGCGGCGGTGCCCGGAAGGGTCCACCCCCGCCCGGCGAGCCGCCTCCGCCCGAGCCCCGCAGAGCGCAAGCCCGCGCGCAGAGACCACGAGGGAGCCCGGGGGGTACTCCGCGTCGTGGGGACACGCGGGAGGAGGGGAGGAGAAGGGGCCCTCCGGGTCACGAGGGTCCGAGCAGCACTCGGAGCCAGCGCGTCCTGGGTGACAAGTCCCGGGACCGCGCGGGGTCCCCTCTCCCGCCCTCCGGGTCCCGCGCCCGCCTCGCCCCCCGCGCCCCTCACCCGAAAGCGGGTCCTTCCTTGGGCGCCCTGCCCTGGGCGGACGCCGCCGCGGAGCT